CAGCAAGGTAGCAAATGGTCCACGCTCGGCCTTCTGGTTACGTGGAGGTCTTCAGTAGATTACATTGTGTCCCTTGCTGGAGTGTGAACCCACAGGCTCGCATGTTTAAATCAATGGTTTTCAAGTGGTGACACTGTTCCAACAGTCGGGGAACCATTAGGGAGTGGGGCCTGACTGGAGGAAGCGGGTGCCGGGTAAGGCAGACACTGTGGATTGTAGTTAGGACCTGGTTCTAGCTGGCATCCTTCAGCCTCATTATTGTCCCTCAGGATACAGTCAGGGGCTGCACATCCTTATCATTATGTCTTCCCCTTCTCAATGGCCTAGCTCTCCTCAAGCGATGAAACAAAGTAAGTCACTTTAATAAGCAACTTCTAAAGTTAGTTCTTGTCAGGTGTTCACGCCCAGTAAGGAGAATATAACCAAATCACCCATCGTCCCGGGGGGGGGGGGGGTAATCAGTGATTGCTTGGTCTACTGATTCGAACGTTAATCTCATCTAGAAACAAACCTAAGAATATGCCCAGAACAATGCTTAACCAAATATCTGGGTTCTACATGGCCCTGTGGAATTGACACCTCAAATAACCACATCAGGACCATTTCCTGCCTCTAGACCTCCCTAGAGTTTCACACAGTCAGCTTGTTTTTTTCTAAATTCTTTTAGAAATCAGCATCTCAGACTCACCTTGTGAAGTTGGGATCTCTCAGATCTCCCCCAGAGTTATCATAATCTCTCACACACTGCAGTTTGATTTACTGTATTTATACTGACACACACACACAGACACACACACACAGACACACACACACACACACACACATATATATATATATATATATATATATATATATATATACACCTTGATACCTTGACTTTTATTGTTGCCTTGTTTTTAACCTCTTTCTCCTACTAGAAAAGAAACTGTTTTATGTGATGCCTCATACGTTTTGTACAATATCAGAACCCACCAAAAACATGTGCAATGGGTAGTTTTGTTTTTACAAAAATAAAGGAATTAGACACCTGGATAATGTCATATCATCATTCTTTCATAGGTTTGGTTTTTTTTTTTTTTTTTGAGACAATGTCTCTCTATGTAGACCTGGATGTTCTGGAACTAACCTTTAGAAGGTCTCCTGAGACAAATCTTTCTTCCATAAGAATTCTAAGCAATAGATGTAGCTAAGTCCTGCTTCAGGAACTGACTCCTATCTGCCCTCTTTTGCTGACTATTTGTAGTGACTGTATGCCAGAAAATAAAGGCCAGGAAGAAAGGACAGTGAAACACCACATGGGAAAGCCCATGGGCACCATCGTCACCAAATAACCATGTGGTCACCACACCATGAAAGGGAGCCCACAGACACCATCTTCAACGAGTGATCATGTGAACACCTTACCATGAAAGGGGTACTCAGGAGAGCATAGCTCAGCATTGCTTCTGTGGAATTCTGAACAAAAATCCTAACTTCAATCAAATCATAAGAAGAGATCAAAGAAATTACCTAACATTCATTCCAAGGTGAATATTGAAAACAAATACATTCTAAGTTAGATTCTGGAGCAGACAGGGGGCATTAATGGAAAAATCCAAAAAAATCTTAGGTTTATAGTTTTTAAAATGTGTTTATGATGGCTTTTTAGTTTTAAGTATAGACTACAGTGATATAAGATGCTAACAAACTGAAAAAGGATGATCAAGTTTTATGATAATTCTAGCATCTAGCATCTAGATAATTGTAGCTCTTCTCTAAGCATACCCTAAAATAAAAGTTTTCTTTTGCTAAGTGTGGTAGTGCATATTTCTATCCCTAAGAGTTAGGATGCCACGACAGGGGGATAAGAGGTTTGGGGTTCCAAGTCAGACTGAGCTACAAAGCAAGACACTACAACAAAGCACTACCATAACCACCACCAAAAGCAGAAGGTGTTTGCTTTAACAGACGGTAATCACAAGACTCAGAACCTAAATAAACTACACTCTTTAACCTTTACCAAAAAAAAAAAAAAAAAAAAAAAAAAAAAAAAAAAAAAAAAAGAAACACACATATGCTGCTGGCAGTATTCAAAAGTACATAAAAATTTTTGCCTTTTTTTATGTTAGTAAACATATACATAGAATGATGACCACAACATTTAAAAACAGTTAAGTTTCCCAGGTCTCAACACTTTATTCTCCCTGTCTCCCCACCCCCTATATAATTTGTGTGTGTGTGTGCAGGTGTGCAGGTGTGCTCACCCATGCATGCACATGCTGAGACCCAAGGTAGACATGGCTGTCTTCCTCTACTGCTCTGGGCCTTGTTTTCTGAAGGTCTTTCACTGAGTCTAAAGGGATTCCCACACCCTCACACAGACACACATGTAGACAAAACACCAAGACACATACAAATTAAATAAATAAACCAATAATAAAAGGAGGAGCCAGGTGTAGTGGAGCACACCTTTGGTCCCAGCACTCAAGAGACAGATGCAAGCAGATCTCAAAGTTTCAGGTTCAAGACCAGCATTCTAGGACGGCCAAGGTGACATAGTGAGACTCTGTCTCAAAAAAAAAAATTAATGTCATATGACCACTGTTATCCAACAGAGAAACAAACATACAGGGATTTTGCCAAATACCACATGCTTTCCTATTAGTTTCCTCTTAATATAACACTTAAACCATCTGTGGAAAATGAGCAATGCTTGAGGTTGTCCTCTGACCTCTGTTTGAATGCTGTGGTTCATGTGTGCCTACATTCAAGATTTTATTTTTTAAATAATGTATATGAGTGTGTATGTATGTGTGTATGTGTGCGTATATGTGTACATATGTGTGCATGTGTTGATATATGTGCATGTGTGTATGTGTGTGTGTATATGTGCATAAGTGTGTATGTATGTGTGTATATATGTGCATGTGTGTGTGTGTGTGTAGGTATATGCATGAAAATGCAAGTGTCCATGGAGACCAGAGACTTCAGAAAGCTCTGGAACAGAGTGACAGTCACCAAAAGCACTCAGGCCCTTTGTCAGAACAGTACACACTGGTACCCTCTGTGTTCTCTCTCCTAACTAGGCTGGTTTCTCTAAGCGTCTGTGTAGTTAGATTCTTTGTAGAAATTGACCTGGCTATAACAGGTCCCACCCTTTGTGAATTGTGTCATAGCGAGATCTCAGCATATAGTTTTTAAAAATTCTTAACAACTTAATTTAAATATGAAAAGTCATATACAAATTTATATATATGTATATACAGATGAAAGTCTGAGGCCTTTTAAACATCAATTGAATTGTTGGGTTCTATTAATAAATGACAAAATATATTCAGCCAATTAATTAGTAATTTTACCAGAATTAAATATACTGATGTCGCAGAGACGTGTTTAACAGTGTATTCTATTTCAGAACACCAAGTGTGCTTCTTCAAAGCCAGAAAAGATTTGGTGATCTAAAAAAAAGTCACTCAGTGTTTTCTGGAAAATATCTGCTCCCATGGGCCTTTATTTACCACTCAAAACTACAGTGAGGAATTCACGGGTATACTCCTTGATTGGAAGAAAAAAAAAAAGTAGGTAATTACCTTTACAGCAACCTCATGATGCATTCCTGTTAAAACGTTTATTGACTTCAGATATGGGAAATATTTTGCCATTGAGCTCTCATTTTTCTGTATGGATGCTGTACAGTTGGATTCGTGGATAAAGACCACTTACCCAGTAAAAAGTGTATTATTCGTGTGTGCGCGTGTATGTGTGCGTGTGTGTGTGTGCGTGCATGTGTTCGTGCGCGCGCGCGCGCGTGTGTGGCGGGGGATACGGTGTTGTTGCTTTCATCTCACAGTTGAAAGTGCCGTAATTAGACACCGCAGTTCGGCACCCTGCTGTAAGATGCAGGTTTAAACCTATCCCTGGCATTGAGAAACCAGAGCATTTCATCCCGTGCGGCTCCAGCAACTCCACTTAGCGCGGCCGAACTGCATTAAAGGGTTCTAAGATCCTCTTTGCCTGAGAGGACAAACCTCTTTGATAAAACCACAAAACACATTGCCTACTTGAGGAGGCAAAACTACAGTGTGATCTAAGCGGTTACTTTTTGAAAACGCTCAACCAATTACCAGTCAAAAATCCCATTTTGTAGGCACCTCAGCGAGAAATTCGTGCTTAGCTAAGAGGGGGAGATTGAGGAAAGTGAACTTTATAACATTTCTTTGCTTATTATTTATTTAGTAATAATTATTGCCGGGCTGGGAACCAATACCAGCGGGTTGTATGTTTTCCACCTCTGAGATCCACACCCAGGCTGAGAATCTGAAACTTAGATAGCCACAGAAGCGTACCTGACTTACCGGAGTCTTTGTGTGTGTATACGTGTATGCGTGTTTGTGTGTGGGAGTGCAGGCACAAGTATGCTACAGTGTGCGGGTGAGGTCAGAGAACAACTTCCTGTGTCGGTGTTTGAGGCAGTTTCTTGTTGCCGGTGCTAACCCAGCTAGCCTAGGAGCCTCTGGGGATTCTCCAGGCTCCTCCCTCCATCTTGCTTTGCAAGCGTTGGGGTTACTTACAAGTTTCCGTGTCCTGCTTATGTGGGTTCTGGGGGAGGGGTTCAAACTCAGATTCTCGCTCTTGCAATGGCACGTGCTTTTCCCCCTAAACCATCTCCCTGACCTTGATCTCAAAGTTCAAAAATCAGATTAAAATGAAGTCTCTTCTGCGAGATGTTATTTGGGAATTGGGAAGAATATGAACTTTGCTGTTAGAAAATCTTCCCATTTCTCCACTGGACAATTATCTAGCCTCTCCGCTTTCTGTGTTTCGAAAGATGTTAACAGCAAACTTTCTGATTCACTGCCACAATTACGTACGAAGCCTCTGGCTCTTGCCTCACAACATGTGACAGGAAGATCAAAAGACGGCACGCTCTGAAACACGGTAAAAACGCAGAGTCTCAGAACTCCTCCCAGACCCTACGAATTGGACTTTGTTCAGACCATTGCGCCCCCACCCCCACCCCAGATGAATCACTCTGAAGCGACAGAGGCCTTCGACGACGCCGTCCGTCAGTACGTGCTCAGGAAATGCTAGGTTCTTTCCTCCTCGTCCTGATCACTCTGCAGGAATTTTAAGTCAGCTGGGCTCAGTGCCTGTCGTAGCCAGCAGTGGACTTAATTCATGTGGGTGCACTGTGAGCGCTCACGCTGGGGATGGCGTTCACAATAAACAAACGCCTAGGTTAGTAACAGCAAAAGCCAAGGTGAAGACTTCGCTCTCAGATTCGTCTCCTGTACACTGCTACAGGCGGGAAGCACACAACAAGCCGTTTTCCGTTTTCCCAGGCGGGTTTGAACCTCCTCTGATAGTTTCTTGTCAGAGAAGGTGTCCATTATCATTTAGGAATTGTGGTGAAGAGGGCCGGCCTACGGCTAATAATTAAACAGGTCACTGCTTGAAAAAAAAAAAAAAAAAACTGCAGGGGAGGCTTCTAAAAGTGGCCCTGAGTTTTTTCTTTCTTTTAATCTCCAGAGTTTATCCGTGAGCCCCGAGGTGTCAGAAGCGAATTGGGTAGAACCTGTCTCACCGCATCAAAGAGACATTCAGTACCTGGCCTTATTAACATTCACAGTGCAAGCTGGCACAAGACAAACCAAGATTGCATTTTAAACTCTGGGGGTGTATTTAGTGACAATGGAAAAAGCTTGCTACTACAATTGAAGTTTTGGCTACAATGTCTTTATGAAAATAGGAAATAAATCTAGTTTTACATTTGTGAACCAGCAAATAGGACAATTCTTGGATTTATTGATAGGCTCACTTAAGAAGGGAGAATTCTACCATGCCTGTATTTCTTCATGCTCCCAGCAGAACGGACTGAGACCCAGCATTGGTAAGTCTTCTACCGTAGATGCTTTCCTTACAGGAATAGTCTCTAGGGGCTGAGGCAGTAGCTCGATTGGTAATCACATGCAATGTGAGCACAGAGATCTGAACAGGATCCCCAGAACCCGTATTTTAAAAAGCACCTGCTGATAGTTTCAACTCTGGAGACACAGAAACAGGCAGATCAAAGACTTAAACATAAAACCTAAAACACTCAAAAAGAAGAAAACATAGGCAATACTTCACAGAATACAGGTATAAGAAAGAACTTCCCTAATAGGAGTACCGGTCAATCGTCCTCTGGCTCACACACGCACGCACACACACGTGCATCTGCACAATACTCACACACACAGACTCACGTAGGTGCACCTGCATACTCATGAGCACACATACACGACTGCACAAAACAGTAAAACAATTAAAGAATGTTATTTTTTTTCTCTTTACTACTACTTAAAGAGGGATAAACATTCATCTTCAGAATCTCCTGCTCACATGGTACTCTGGAAGCTGGGTGGGGTGTGATGACACACACCTGAAATACCAGGCTTAGAAGGCAGAGGCAGGAGGAGAAAAGAAGAAGAAAAAAGGGACGTTGGGATGTAGTTCAGTGGGAGATGCAAATGGTTCAAAACCCAGCACCAGGAAGTTAACGCGCGCCTGCGCGCGCGCGTGTGTGTGTGTGTGTGTGTGTGTGTGTGTGTGTGTTGAAAGTAGAGCCTGCAGATTTCAGGGAGTGTATAGAATGTGTTATGATATCTTTCTCGGCTCTGCTAAGAACTGGCGGCACTGTCTACCTGGTCAATGACTCTGCTCCTATCCCAATAATTTTTTTTTAAATTTTACATTCAACTTTCAAATAATTCAGACCTCTGGACAAGTTGTAAGACTCGCAAAAGAATCTATCTAATATCCTCTCTCTCTCTCTCCACAGTTCTTTTCTGGACTACTTAGGAATTGAGTTCATGCATTATATCTTTACCTGTCGGCATTTCCTATACCATGTCACTGTTTGGAGCATGCAGTTCTTTCATTGTGCTCCAGATATGGACAGGCTAGCCTTTACTAGTCATATATTTTATAATATAATTCACAGTCATTTGTTTGCTGTGTGCTATTTCTCTAATGTTTTTAGCCCCTGCCTTCTCCCTTTTAGCCCCTACTCCCTGCGTCTTCTCTTTTCCTCAGAGCTTTGTTCTTTCAGCTTCCCTGCACCTATCTCCACATTTCTGATAAAAACAAACAAACAAACAAAAACCTGTAGAGGTTTGAGTGCGAATAACCCCAATTGGTGCACATGTTTCAATGCTTGGTCCCCAGGTGGTGGAACTATTTGGGAAAGATTAGGATGTACGGTCTGTCGCTGGGGGTAAGCTTTTGATGTTCAAAAGCCCATGCCGTTCCCAGGTAAAAGGCCAGGACATCGCTAATTATCACCCACCTCCTACCCCCCCACCCCGCCTTGTTGTTGTTGTCTCAACACGTAAGCTCTCAGCTTCTGCTCCAGCACCATACCTGCCTGCCTGCCTGCCTGCCTACATGCTCCCTGCCATAGTGGTCATGGACTCACCCTCTGAAACTGGAAACTCAATAAAAAAAAAATGCTTCTATAAGTTGCATTGACCGTGGTGTCTTATTACAGCAATAAAATGAGCAAATAAATACTAAAGTCAGGACCCATACCTGAATGACAGATTTTTGGCACAGTGTGTCTTCAAACCTACCCACAAGGGGTCGCGTATTATTTTCAGTCCTGCTTGGTTACTCTCTTACCCATATTACAGTGGAGTGCGTAGGCCAGCCATTGCTCTTGTTTCGGCTACTTACTTTTAGTTTTACTCATACTTTGAGTTCTGTATGCTCTGAGACACTAAAAGAAACATTTGTCACAGAAGTGATCCCCGCATGTAACTCGCTCTTCCAAACAATGGTGCTTCCTCCTCTATGCTTCTTTGTGGGGGACAGAGAATTTAGCAGAAGACCTGAGGTCACTTTCCGCTCTGCTATAATGTCTGCCAATCACCTAACCTCCCCTGAGTCACCACGTCTAAAATGACATACCCCAGTTATCTCTCAGGCCGCTCAAGTTCTACCTTGTCTCCACAGGGAACACTTGTGAAGCTAAAATGATGTTTGTGTAAGGCTTTGTAAGAAATGTGAAAGTATTTTGAAACAGTAGAAGCCTAAGTATCCACGGTGAGAAAGGGATCATGGGATTATCTGGTCCTACTGGGTAATTCTACTGACAGGGTAACTAAAAACCAGGAAAGTTGAGTAACTTGCTCATGGTGGCTGAACTGTTTGGTGGGACAAGGTTTCCTGGTTCTTAGTCCAAGGCTTTCTTAACCTCAGCAAACTGTCTTCCTAGACAGAGTGCGTGGCTCAGGTTACTCAAGGTTTCCTTCCCATATCATGGTTCGCTGTTGTGAAAACACAGCCACAAGCGCCAACTGTGCAGACGACTTCAAGTAAATATGAAGCTTTAGAGAGAGGAGACAGTTTAAAGGAATGCACATGAATAAGAAGACGGAGGACAGTAGTTGATGCTATTTGAAAGGTACCAAGAAATCCCACTTATCTAGTGAGATGCTTGAACTTTCAAACACTTTACCCTCCAGGATCTAAGCGTCTAAAGATAAGCCCCTATTTTAAGGTCAAGAAATGGCCCACAAACTGCCAATAATTGTTTGATTTTTCAGCTGATTTAATTAAAACATTTTTTAAAAAGTGCAGCAAGTTATTAATGGAATTCTGCAACCTACAATCCAACTGAATGCTGATCTGAATCCGGCTTGTAATTACTGGAAAGTGAGGCTTTCTGAGGAAAGAGCACAGGCGAACCTGTGGGCAGCAGGAGGCATCAGAAGAATGTCCTCTTGGTCGCTGGGTTAAACCCACTCATTCAAACGCCTCTCCTAAAGAACCAAAGGGTTTGTGAGTCTCAGAACTGACAAAGGCAAACAGGGTTTTGAATTGTTCTGATATTCAGATCCCCACCACGTACCTGTTGAATTAAAGCTGTTGTTGTTCACGTGAATTATCTGAGGGTGAGTTACTTTGTTTTCAGAAGAAAAGGCTGTGATGAAAAAAAGATAAGAGCAATCATCTTAGGACTCAAGAAATGTAGAGGCCTCCCGAATCCCAGCTCAAACCTTCATAACCCAGTACCCCAGGGTTATTCTGGTGTCTTTTATAAATGTTATGTGTGTGTGTGGGGGGGGATTCCTCTCCATTCCAAGGGAGATAATGAATTCTTATCTGTGATTGTGAATGTTTGAACAGGAGGAGAATGTCTGTGTTAGTTTATAATGGAGCTTTTGATAGACACTTGATGATCATGAAGGCTAATGAATGTGATTTGAAGGCATATGATTTTAAATGAGAATATTTAAATATTTTCATCTTGGCTAATGGCATTTTCTCTCGATGTGAATTTAATATGAGAATCCTTCATTGAGTATGGCTGTTATATTTCTGGACAGTACTGTGGTTAGCAGGTCTACATAGCTAAGATTATAGATCAGAGGAAAGATCCAAACTTGAGTGGAAAACCCATGTCAATGAACTACTGTATATTTTTAAAGATTCCCTCTCTTTATTTGTTTGTTTGTTTTTGGAATTTATGTGTTTGAATGCTATGGATGCAGGTCCCCTTGGAGGGCAGAAGAAGAAGCCAGATCCCCTTGTAATGGCAGTTACTGATAGCTGTGAGCCCCTGACAAGGGTGCTAGGAACTGAACTGGGTTCCTCTGCAAGAGCAACAATTGCTCTTAACCTTTGAGTCGTCTGTCCCCCCCCATGTTCTTCTTCTTTTTTTTTTTTTTTTTTTAACTTCAATAAATGAAAGTAGAGGTGTCTGCTCTTCCAGCAATCCAGATCTGTTCGTTTTGAAGGCGTGCTGCGGTAAGGCCTCGCCTCCTTGTCCGGAGCCACTTTCATTAATCATTCAGAGAATATTTCTGAGGGAGCGAGCAAGGTGTTATCAGATTGTAACTCTACTCAAAGCCTTCGAATCAGCGCTTTTTATCTTGAAATCCACTGTCCCGTTGACTTAACTTTCTCCTGCTTCTTGCAGGTCTCAGCTAAGGCTTGGAAAACGAAGCGTTTCACAAGGCCTCACAACCCTCAAGCTTAGGAGTGGAGTGGGCGGAGTTCCGTCCTGAAGCTATCTCTGGAGAGGGAAGGACAAAGCTCCACCCTGCTTAGAGGGAGCAGAAGCCAGCTATGTGGTCACGTGAGTCAGTCACTTTTTTTTTTCTTTTCCTTTCCAAGCTCAAAGTTCAAATCCCCCTCCAAATTCCACTAAGTCAGAAATAGATCCATAGAAGTAGAAGAGGTTTTTGAACACAACTTTACAGGCAACCAAAGTCAGTTTGGAGGAAAGAGAAAATTTCTCCTAAGACTTCTTTTCCTTAACGTCCCTCACGGTTTTGCCCTCTGTGATTGAGGAGAAAAAGTTTGGACTTTTCCACCCAAGAGCAAGCAAGAAGCTGGTTCTGAGAATTTAGGGGCCTGTTGGGACCTGTGGGAGAGAGAACACACCTGCCTGTTCACTGATTAGAACCTGGAAGCACAGTCTCCCACTCTCCCCCTGAGGCAGCTCAGCAAAGCCTGCTAAAAGCAATGCCCAATGCCATTAACCACACACAGTCTTTGATTGCAGGCTCGCCTCGTCTTATGATTTAAAAAAAAAATGAAGGAGATGGAGAGACAGAAAAAGTGAATGCCTTGCCTTTGGAGTAGAACAGAATTCCTTTTAATTATTGAAATGCTAAGGAGGAGCATGTCTGCAAAGTGCCTCGGCTCCTCTCACAGCAGCGTGAAATGGAAATAGCCATAATGCGTTGGATGTGACTCCAATTTTCATTTATTTTATCAAATAATGTAAGTTTTAATAATCAATTATACTTATATCTCAACTTAGACATAGTTATTGAAAACCTAAAGTGAGGGGCTCTCCATCATCAAGACCAAAAACATACCCTGAAAATGACCGAGCCAAGAGTTTGAATGTTTTAAATTACCCTCTATTGCTTTTAAATCGGACATTCTAGACAGGTTTTCATTGGATTTCCACTAGATATACTTTCACTTGTTGATACATTTAGAGAGATGTATTGCCGTTAAATAGGCAAAATAAGACACACAATAGCCCATTTTTCATTTGCAGCAAGGCCTTCAGTAACTCCTGGTCCAGGTCTCGCACTCACAGACCCGCCTCAGGTATCAAACATAGCAAGTATTAAACCTGGCATCAAATTGCAACTGAACCTTTTAACAACCAACATGTGTCCTAAGAGGAAAGATACAAATGCAGAGGTGACATCTGTCATTTGGATCTAAAATGACCCCTGAAGGCTCATGTGCTGAAGGCTTGGGTCCCATGTTTCCAGTGGCCCCTGATGCTATCCGGAGGTAGAGGCAGGAGACGGGACCTTGAAGGAGGAAGTTAGTTCATTGGAAGCGTGGCTAGGAAGGAGACACTGGTGCTTAGACCAGCTGCCCAAGCTAGGTGAATTGTCTACTCCAGCCTCCTGCCATGCTGCATTGTCTTGTCACAGGTCAGCTGACCACAGACTGAACCCACACACCACCATAAATATTCCAATGGTAGATGTAGACAAAGCATTTTGCCACAGCCACAGAAGCTGACTGGCTCAGAACATTTAACAAAAGAGGTGATGGGATCAACCTGCACGGAACGATTTCTTTTGGTGGCCTTGATTTGTTAGAGACCGAAGTAATTGGCTAGCTCCTTAGCCAAATTTTTAACAGGAGGAAATAGATTTTCTGAGGACCAAGTCTTTTCCAGATATTGATTTGAAACGAACTCTTCAACTTGGCAGGAACGTGGGTAAAATTTTAACAGATATTTAAATTAAAAAAATGGATATCTGGTGAGGTCCTGGGATCGCCTGTCTCTGTTTCCTTGATCCTGGGATTGCAGATGTGTGTTAACACATCTGGCTTTTTATGTGGGTGCTGGGAATCTGACCTCAAGTCCTCATGTTCATCTGACATTTTATGGAGTGAGCCATCTTCCCCCAGTCCCTTTTAAGTTATCTTTCACTAGTGAGATATGACAAAGTCAGTAGGTTGTCACTGTGATGATTACACAAGCTAAAGCAGTTTTATGCATTTTCACAGCTAGAGTTAAAGGCTATAGTTGGCTTTACAGTCATTAGAAGGTAGATTATTCTTAGTGTTCCTGACTTTATCATTTCTTTAAGTTTGTATGTTTAAAAATGTCAGTTCTTTTTCCCGTGCTGCAGACTGAAGCTAGGGCCGTGTGCGTGCTAGGCAAGTGCTATTCCACTGATACATATCCCAGCCTTCTTTCTATCTCTGTCTGTGAGACGGTCTCACTAAATGGCACAGACGGTCCTTGAGCTTGCCACCTCCTCCTTCAGCTTCCTGAGTAGTTGGGTTCCCAGACCTGAGCTGCCAGTCCCATCTTTTTATTTATCTTTTTGAAACCATGACTTACCTTATTTTTATTGTTATCTGACAGCCAAAAGTATATTCAAGGCAGGCAATGGGGGGGGGGGGGCGCATGCTTTTAATCTTAGCACTCGGGAGGCAGAGGCAGGTGCCTCTCTGTGAGTTTGAAGCCAGCCTGGTTTACAGAGTGAATTCCAAAACAGCTAGGGCTACACAGAGAAACCCTTTCTCAGGGGAAAAATGTATTTTTGAATACAGGTACTTTCCATAGAAAACTGCATGTTTAGATGTATTTTGGAAACACTTCTGCATATATGTGTCTGTAGAAGTATTTCCCATAAAATGTGTGGTCATTAATCTTTTCATCCATTATTATCCTCATGACTTTCCCCTGTTGACATAGCTACTCCCTGGTGAGCTATGAAAAGAGTGGCTTCGGGGAGGATGAGGGTCAGAATAAGCAAGCTTTGCCCCTTTTAACTGTGGTGGTTTTGCTAATTTTTTTTAACATGGAGCCTACAAGCATTGCTTTTCCTCCCCTAATCATTGTGCTATCAAACTTGACAACCACCAGCACACAGCCAGTACTAAGAAAACAAACAAATGAACAACAACAACAAAAAGTCTGCAGTTCACAGTTATGGCTGAGCATTATTCCCGAAACTACGATCCTTCAAAATGACACACCAGGGACTCTAAGGATGTTCTAAGTCACCACCCCAAAAAAAAAAACAAAAACAAAAACAAAAAACGCTGAAATCAGGACCTAACAAGTTCATAGAGCCCATACAGGAAATAAACCGTTAACATGTGCAAAACATGAAATTACATAGAAACAGAGGAAGGCTGTATTTCGTGGGGATGTGTAATCCAAAGGGCTCAGGTTTCCAAACCAGATGGACCCATGCGGCTTCTCTCCAGCTTTGTCATTAGCAGTTGTGCGGTCTCTCGGCGGTGATTTAACATCTGGTTACCTTCGTGTCTTTATCTGTAACCTGAGAAAAATGATGTCTTCTATACATTGAGGTGAGAATTAAAAACAATGCATGAAAAGCATCCAGTCCAAGGACGGTCATATAATAGGCACTTGGGAAAATGGCAATTATCTTTATTTTGTGCGGTTGTGAACGAGAGTACTCCAAGATAAGTCACACTATCCACCCCCTTCTCTTTCTCTCTCTCTTTTTGAGACAGATCAAGAATCTTTATCCTCTTGATCCTCCTGCCTTCCCTGCCTGCCTGCATTCTGGGATATTAGGCAGGTGTCTCCATACACACCACCCAATTATTGTACTTTTAGTAAAAATACTCGATGCTCATGCTTTTAGCAAGTCACATCTTCACTAAGTCTAAGGAAAATATATGCTTCCTGGCCCAACCCTGTGCCCACTCTCTAGGGGCAGCAATGACTGCTTCTTCAGCTGGGGTTTTTGTTGTTGAGTTTGCCTTCCTACTTTTTGGTTAAAACATTCAAATATTACCATGTATTGTAGAATACTCTAAAATTATGACCATGATTATAGTTATTTTCCTTTCGCCTGAAGTTAATGATGCCCTTTATTTTGTTTCCTAGTGTTCTTTGTAATTATCACTGATTCCCCCCACAAAAACTCTAAGAGCTTTTTTATATCATTTCCTGCCACATCATCGAAATAGACAGTCAAATTTCCTTACTTAACTAAGTCTTCCTAGAAGCAAATGTGCCATTTATCCTCTTTTTTTCTTCCTCCAAATGTGGTCCATGATTTTCTAGTCCCGCTTCCCAGCTAAATACTGGTCTGCTCGAAGGATTTAATATAATCTAATCTCAATTCAAATGTCTTCTTTTGTTACATTTGATTGGTGTGCATGTCTATGTTTGTGTGTACTGAGTGGTGTGTGTGTGTGTGTGTGTGTGTGTGTGTGTAGAACAGAAGACAAGTTTTGGGAGTTGGTTCTGTTCTTCCACCATGTGGGACGTGGGGCTTGAACTCAGGTCATCAGACTTGTCTGCAGGCACCTTTACATGCTAAACTATCTCACCAGCCCTAAAATATTATTTGTTTGTTTGTTTGTTTATTTATTTTGACAATGAACAATTTCACATTGTCATGATTTTGTTGTTGGACTTTTTGTTGTTGTCTTTTTTTTTTTGAGACAGGGTTCCTTTGTAGCCCTGGCTGTCCTAGAGCTCTCTCTGTAGACCAAGCTGGCCTTGAACTCAGAGATCTGCCTTCCTTTACCTCCACCTAATTTGTCATGATGATCATAAGAGGTTCATGTTTCAAATTATATTTGGTTATTCTCAGTCTTATCCCATCTGAATATTTTCCAGACTTCTCATGCAAACATCCTTTAATACCAGATTTGGAAATGTAACCTTCAAAGGGACACTTTTCAGCTCCCATAGGTGACTGACTGTTGTGGAAATGCCTTTCCATTCTTGCTCTGTGCTCTTTCTCTTCTTCATGCTCCTAGTGACTTGGAGCAACGAAGAGAGAGGGAATGGCGAATTCAGAAAAGAAAGTACCTTTGTACTTCGTTCCCTTCTTATCTTTCTTTCTGATGTGCTTCCCTAGCCCATTTGCTCTTTGATTATTCTAGACACTATAACTACAGTTAAGAGGGAGAAAGAGACTTTAGACAGTGTCCTAGCATCCTTGGAGACTTGGATGGTACTCATTGAGTGGGGGTGGGACCCGGCTATGGGGAACCTAGAACTGGACCATCTAATCAGTGCTGCCTAATCCTTGAGTTTATCAGAAGGCTTGAGTCAGTTCCTGCCAGGTTTAGTGAGGCGTTCTTTAGTTACGTTCCTATTGCTCTGCTAAAACACCACGACCAAAGGCCACTTATGGAAGAAAGAGTTTATTTGGGGCTTATGGTTTTAGCGATTAGTATCCATGATGGAGGAGTGGGTGTAGAAGGCAGCTGGTGGCTGGGGCAGCAGCTGAGAGCTCATATCTTGAACTGCAAGTGGGAGTAAAAGATGATACACTGGGAGTAGAATGGTCTTTTAAAGCCCCCAGACCCACCCATTGTGGCATATCTCCAACAAGGTCATACTTTATAATCCTTCCCAGGAAATTCTTCCGATTGGGCACCAAGCATTCAAACACGTGAGTTCACTGGAGTCCTTTCCATTCAAACCACCACAGAGTGACGTGACCAAGGAAAATGTGTGGAAGGGGCAGAGACAGCTACAGTATGACCCAAGCTTAGGAGTGAAAATGTGGGCATACCTGGCACCTGATGAACCATATTATGAAGACATGGCAACAGTGAGGATGAGGAGAAGGCTGAGGTGGGTGGCCTACTTGACACCCAGGGCGATGGTGCTGTTTAGGCCTGAGCTGCTGCCAAGGGCCACGTCTGCACCTGTGACCCTGTTGTAGCCATGGTCTGTGTTGATGTCCTTGGCTCCTGTGACTACTGAAGGCCAAGAGGATAGGGCTGCACAGAGGTGGATCTCTTCCTCACTGGCTCCAACCCAGGGAGAACTGGTCCCACCCCTCGCGGGCTGCATCTCTGGAGAGAGTGAGTGGGTCCTGCACCTCACCTGGGCAGCACGGCAAAGCTGACCCAGTTGGCAGGGGCACAGGCCAACAGGCCCTGAGGGCATGAGGGTGGGAGGGCTCAAACTGGGCCAAGGGCTCAGTGCAGGTAACAATATAAAGACGAAAGGACTGTGTGACTTATGGTGTCCTTCTACAGTTTCCACAATGAGATTTTTTTCTTTTCTTTTAAATTTTATTGTTTTATACTGGGGAAGGGGTATTGCAAGGGTAGAGGGTGGATGGGAAGGGACTGGGAGATGAGAGTGGAATTGAGATGCATGATGTGAAATTACAAAGAATCAATAGAAAGTTAAATTTGAAAAAAAAAAAGAATAAAAGGTCATGAACTTGAGAGAGAGCAAGGACCATATGGGAGAAAGGAAAGGGAAAGGGGAAATAATTTCATATTCTAATCTCAAAAGAGAAAAAGAAAAAAAATCAAAATATAAAGATCACAAGAGACAATTTCTTAGAACTCATCAAATGTGAAGGATTTGTAATTGTCTTTTTTCTCAAATTTGAAAAAAACATTACTTTTATAAGGAAAAATAATAAATTATTGAGGACCCCTTTCCTTAATTCTGTCAGATGATTATTCTCATGTTGTTTAAGTATGTGACATTATTTTTTGTTGTTTATGGCCCTTATTACTTATGTAAAGTCTGAAAAAAAGTTATATAAAGTACAAGACAAATCACATAAATGTTAATCGAATTAAGGCAGTTTTCTGTTATGGAGGATTCTTCTCAGCAGAAGCCAAATCATTTACATGTCGATAACAGTTATCACCAGCGTAGGTACTGTCTTACAGATGGCAGGGAGTTCCGGCTACCTGTGTCTGGGGGAAAATAGCAGAGCTTATGTTCTGTGTACTCTGGCAAAACTTTATCATTCACATTTTATGTGGCATCTGTTCCTTCTGTCAACATCACCCAGAGTATCCTGGCTTCTTGACAATTAGATTAAACTTGGGCAGTGATGGTGTGGAGGTCCTTCTATACATGTGTTGCTTTTATTGGTTAATGAATAAAGAAGCTGCTTTTGGCCAATGGCTTAACAGAATATAGCCAGACTGGAAAAGTTATATAGAGAGAGTAGGCAGAGTCAGTGAGAAGCCATGTAACCACCCACAGGAGACAAATGCACCAGAACCTTGCTGGTAAGCCACAGCCACATGGCAATACACAGATGAATTGAAATGGGTTAATTTAAGATATGAGTTAGCCAGAAATACACTTAAGCTATTGGTCAAACAATATTACAATTAATACAAATTTCTGTATGATTATTTTGGGAGTCTGGATGGCCAGGAAATGAACAAGTAGGCTTCCTCATCACAGTGAAACAGGGTGGTTACTGCTAAATAGGTCTATTGTGATTGTATATTATGGCTTTAAAAGGTGACATTATTATTGAAAAGAAAAATTCATGTTGAAAATATTTTCAGGGGCTGAAGAGATGGCTCAGCAAGCAGTAAAGGGCACTGATTGTTCTACCTGAGGACCTGGGTTCAGTTCCCAGCACCCACATTATGACTCATAGCTATCTGTAGCTCAGTCCCGGGGGACTCAACACCCTCACCCAGACGTACGTGCAGCCCAGTGTATGTGTGTGTGTTTGTGTATGCGTGTGTGTGTGTGTGTGTGTGTATACTTAAAAAATTTTTAAATGTTTTGATAGAGAGTTGGAAAACCGAGTCTACTGTGTATTTCATTTGTAAAAACAATGATCATGGGGCTCTCCTGGAAGGCAGAGAAGAGGACAGTTGCTGTGATGTAATCAAGCTCATTAATGTGTCTGCCACAGATAGGAACCGAAAAGGTGTTCTCCTCTTCCACCCCGGGGGTGCAGAAGAAGATGCGACAACAAATGATGCCTGGAGGCAAGTAACTGTGACCAACAAGTCTCCCACCAAAGAAGCTCTCCCAATCAAGAAACCAGTAACTTCCTCTGGGGCTAGAAGAAGAATCTAATAGTAAAGTCGCCCAATACCTAAAATACATGTACTGTTTTATATTTAGAATATTGGGAAGCCAATGCACTTTTCATAATCCTGGGAAAATGCCTTCTACATCACTTATCAAAGAAGTCTACCACCATTGTGAGGCTGTGACCAAATTTTGAGATTTTTGCTTTTCTTTCAATGTCAAAGATTTTGCTGGTTTATATTAGGGGAAAAAAAAAAAAAACATGGACCCAAGATTATGTATGAAATCTGGCCCATTCGTCAAACAATAGAGTTTTAACGACTTCTGCTTTCCACTCCCCAGGTGGACAGGCAAGAACTAAAACACCAGCTGTCACCCTGAAAGACTATCCGCTCTCTCAAAAATGTTCTCTTTGTTTACCAAGAGGAGGTTAAGCCAATAGCAAAAAAAAAAAAAAAACACCTAATTAAAAATACGCTGTTGTTATATTTTATTTTGAAAAAAAAATAGAACGAGTTCAGGAATCAAAACCTCACTGTTAGGAAGGGAGGCCTGTGCTCTTCACTGACTAGCAGACACTCTCGATGGGGTCTTCCAGAGTAATAAAATAACCAAAGAAGAACTAGAATACTGAAAGCAGTCTTACTTTTGCCAACGAGTGTGTCTGTGTCCGTTGAGAACATCATCGCCCCTTTCCCACTGCTGCCTCCTGAGCGCAGAGGCCAAGGACTAGAATTTGTAAGGCTTTGCATAAGAGGGGGAGAGCGACCAAAGAGACCAAAGAGACGGCCTCCAGCTCTCATTAGCAGCCTATGATTCACTGCGTTGGCACAACTACTGTTCACCTAATTTCCAACGAAAACAAAACGCTGCCGGCGAGGCCTGTCAAAGGCCTGATGACACTTTCAAGTACCCATGGCATAAATAAAGTTATCTTTTTTAAAACAGCCATCCTCTTGGAATGACTACAGAGCAATTTCTCGCTGAACAACTCCAACTAAGAGGAGTTAATTATCTGAGAAGCGAGTGAGAACAAGAAGGGGTGAATTTTGAACCGCGGAAAAATCATTTATGAAATGACTTACATATCTAAAATTTCGGCTGCCTGTAACATTATCCGTAAGTGAGTGCTCGTGGCTAACGCACAAGAGTATAAAAGTACACACTGCCAGGAGACGAAAGTGGATCGTTAGGTGTAAGGACCACGAGGCAACACTTGATATACCAAACTGTGGTTTTGAACCATTATCTGGCCTGCAACACACCAGAATGTTCTGACACATGATCCACCTGAAATCAGGTCTGGCAGAGACAAATGCTGAACACCTGTTATCAACGCAAGCCACCCCAAGATCTCTGAGGACAGAAACGCTTGAGCCCAGGGGTCCCAGTCAGTATTGTAAAAGTCTGTCTCAAACAACTGAAAAAGGAAACAGGGGCTGAAGAGGGAACATTGGGTAGAGTGGTAACGTTGCGTCAGAGATTACATCTCAACAAGACAGAGTTCCTGCCTGCAACTGGTTCTCCCAGGGTCTCGGCGTCTCAGGAGAAAGCGCAGAAGCTGTCGCTGGATCCCGAGCTCAGAGCCTGGTTTGCTAGACTGTCTAAACCCTCCCTGCTTTCCCTGGTTTCTTCACCTGCACACCTCTGCCGCTCGGAGCTGCACTTTTCATCTAGCAGAACCGGTCTGCGACACCCCCATCCCATTTCTCTATAACCCCCACTTTGTTCACAGAAACCGTCCTTACCACGCCAGGTCTCCACATCCGCATAAACTCCCCACTTTTATTCCTGGGGCCGCAACTCGGCCATAAGGTGCGGCCCTCACCCACGTGCTGGGCTTTATTGGGATCATTTAACTTTTTCTCTCATCGGCTCACACATTTCACGGTTCTTAGTTTCACTACGGTCTCCCTAGAGTCTGGTGCTAGGCCTTCCTGACACCTGTGAAGGGCTCCTCAGGTACCTGTTGCGTGCACTGGATCGTTTTAAAGCGTGTACTCTCAAGAGTGGGTAGCACACCTGCCATGCTATGGACTAGGAATAATAAAAATAGTTAATTGCCCTGGGAAATATGTAACACATATTTTATTTCATTAAAAACAGACCTCAAATTTAGTTTATAAACATTTCGATGTATGACAGTTACTTTAAAAAATTTTTTTTATGTAGTCCCTTCTCCAACAGCTTTGACTCAAACTGTCCATCTTTCCCTATAAATGGTACAGGATGAATGTCATAAAATAGACTCTACTCCACAACTGTCCCTGAATTTAAATATCTGTATCTGTGTGTCTGCTCATTTGACTTCAGGTTATTTGACTCCTCCTAACAGTCTCTAAAATTATATGCACACACATTTTTATTTTTATTTGGAATCAGGTATAGATTTCTTCTTGGAGTACTTTGCTTTATATTTGGCTAATTTATAATTTACCCCTAAACTGTGGCATTTTTTTTTTAGCATATCTTTTAACAGCATCAGCCTGTGATTTGGACTGATGACCCTAGTATGGGAGCTAGCTCTCTGTATTGGGTGGTAAATGACAGTCGTAATGATGTTGGTGGCACATAAGGTCCTGCCGTGAAAACTGCAGGCTCCTCACACTTGTTCTATGGAGAGCAGAGGCTGGGGTGAGAAGGAAGACTAAAGATCAACATGGTGAAGGCTGAAACCCTGAGGAAGAAGTCTTAGACTTGGGTGTGAAACAACCAGACTAGACAGATAAGGGGGACAAGGGGCTCTAGGCCAGGGAAGGCCGACCAGCTGTCCCCTCCCACTTGGACCTGTCCTGCTAGTTTCTAGTCAACTTGATACAAGTTTGAGCCATTTGAGGAGAGGGAACGGCTACTGAGACAATGTCGCCAACAGACTTTTCTGTATGCAAGCCGGTGGGCCGTTTTATTGATTAATAATTGAGCAGGGAGGGCACAGCCCACTGCGGGGGGGGGGGCTGGGGTAATGCCACCCCTGGGCAGGTGGTCCCGGGTGGTCTAAGAAAGCAGGCTGAGCACGCTGTAAGAAGTAAGGCAGTAAACAGCTTCTTCCAAGGCCTGTTTCACTTCTGCCTTAAGGTTCACACCTTGGGTTCCTGTCTCGGCTTCTGTCAATATTGTAACTCGGAATATGTGAGCCAAATAAACCTTTTTTCCTCTCCAACTTGCGTTTGGTCATGGTCTTCTATCAGAGCACTGGAAACAGACTAAGACATCTCTCACACCCTCGAGAGGCGTATGTATGCCGCCATTGGTTTCTCTTACGTCCTGGCTTGTTACGCAGCTAACTGTAATAGACTACATTTTACGGATTGCTTCTAACAAAAGACTTCCACCTCAGAAACTGCGGACTACCCTGTAGAGAAGGAACTGAATATGACACAGCCAAGAAAGACTGAAGCTACATCTTGGTGGCCGTGATAGAGCTAGCTCTCTGCCACAAGTAAACTATAGGCTGGTCACGTAGTTGTGGGGACAGGGGAAGCTTAGTTTCATTAACAGCACTGGCGAGACACCTGCAAGGTCAGGCGATAGTAACACTGTCCAAGTGACTAAGAGTTATCAGTCAATAACTAACAAAGTTGGAGTAAGAGATGGACAGAGGAGAGGGTCAGCCACCTCTAACTGGGTAAGCACCACGTGAACAGCTCGTGACCATCTTCCTGGCTGGGCAGGCACGGCATGCATACAGCTTGCGATTCTTACATTTTCTCAGCCCATGATAGCACAGATTAACCAATTTCGGTAGAGATTCTCTCAGTCTTTGTCCAGATTCTGCCAATGCCCTATGAAAACCTCCCGACAAAGGAGTTCCATGGCTTTTTTCTTCTCTTGGAAGCCCCTCCTTCTCATGGAGATTTCTCTCACTTAATTGATCACTTTTCTATCAATCTTCTCAATAAAGTTGAAACTGCTTTGCACAGTCTTATGAGAGCCCACGTCTTTAAGTTTTATTCCTCCGAGATAAGAAAGTCTATGTTTCAGTGTTTCAGAAAACTCTTGCCTTTGGTCACTACGTAAGTGAATGGCCAACATCTTGGGCCCCTGGTTCATACCAACTGGATTGTAAAAGGTTTCATAGCTCCCAACCCTGCATTAATCCAATTCTGAAACATTCTTAGATCTTATGTACCTTTATAGTTCTTCCAACTAGCTCAAGACCCCTCCCCCACAAGTCTTAAGGGGACCTTTAAAAAGACTTGATGGGATTATAGTAGGAAAAGTCACATGTGACAATAAAGCTTCATAAATTTCTAAATGCATTTTTCTTACTAGAGGAACATTAAATGGTATTTGCAGGAATTGAGTAAATTGATTCTGGTAGAAGTTAAAATAATGACCTTAAATTAATGTGACTTACTCCATTAAAATGCATTTATAGGCATGATATAGGCACAAAATGGAAATGTAAAAGTTTCCAGAAGTATATATTTTCCCATTTATGGTCTCACTACTGCTTCCAAAGAGATTTTGCTCGTTTCTTTGCAGTGCTGGGGTAAACCCAGGGCCTCATATACACTTGTTTAACACAGCGCTGAGCTGTAAGCCTAGCTTGGCTGTCTCCTTCAGTTTCCACCCTGACCAATGACTTCGAAAGCACATAGTTCCAGGACTGACCTCTCTGTGACAATCCAACTCTTGCTGGCTATATTTCTAGATAGTTTACCTACAGGGAGTTATTATTTAGTTTATCTGTAATAAACTACATTAGAAGTTTATGATTGGGCTCTAAGTGAGGTTTGTGTGTATGAGTTACTGTTTGCATGCTAGACAACCAGTTTTAATATTCTATTACGTTACATTAAATACTCGTTTCTATATGTTAAAATTGGTCTTAAGTTTAGGTTCTCTATGTTCAGAAACCCAACTTTATCCAGTCTGACATGGTATATTTCAGTCTTCTAAGTATTTCATAGCGTATCATCCTGGATTTCAATAGCACATCTCTGGAAAGAATAGACAGTTATAAAAACCTAAAATTCTTTAAGCCTGGCTTGGAGTGGCATATGCCACTGCAGGTCTAACTACGTGGGGGGCTGTGGCTGGAGGATCATTTGATTCCAAGAATTTAAGGCCAGTCTGGACAACACAGCAAGATCCACCTCTCAAATATGAGTAAAACATAAATCATTCTCTAAAGTTCCATTATCCTTTAAAATTACTCCAGAATAATGAGTTTGCTGACTTAGATGAGTTACACCCAGATTCCTGAAGGTGTAGTTTTGTGGGTTAAATTTATTTCCACATAAAGATATAATTACCAAGTGAAGAGGCCACGGATATTCTTATGAGACAAAGGGTTTAAATCAAGAAAAGACCCCCGACATGAGATAATTCTAGATGAACTCAAGGATTTTAGGTATTCTACGGAGAATCTAGAAGCCAAACCCTTACCACTGAACAGAGTATTTTCCCCCTTCCTATACCCTGAAAACGTCCTAGGAGAAGTAGTGGCCCTGACCCCAAGCGCTGGAGGGCACTGACAACCGTTTCGTGGGGGGAACGGCTTCATTCGTTCAATCAGAAGTCCTTGGGGAAACCACAGTGGACAGGAGGCTATGGTATTCCCAGAACAGCTGAGTTTGAAAATACAAAATGAGATCTGTTTTGTTTGTTTACGCCTTACTTGAGGGAGCAAACCCAGGTAAGCGCACACGACGGCTACAGTTTAACCCTACTTGAAACAAAGTACCCGGGTCACCCAGGACACTGGCCAGCGCGATTCCACCCGACCAAGCTCCAGCACCCGGCGCGCGCGTCCAGTGGGGGTTGGGCCGGAAGGGCGCGGCGGGGGCGGAGCCGGTGGGCGCGGGGGGCGTGGCTCCGAGGAGGCGGAGACGACAACAAGACCGGCCCTGGAGCTTGGAGGACCTAAGAGGCGCGGCCGGGGCCACGCCCCGGGCGGGAGGGCCGCTCTGTGCGCGCCCGCTCTATGATGCTTGCGCGCGTCCCCCGCGCGCCGCGCTGCGGGCGGGGCGGGTCTCCGGGATTCCAAGGGCTCGGTTACGGAAGAAGCGCAGAGCCGGCTGGGGAGGGGGCTGGATGCGCGCGCACCCGGGGGGAGGCCGCTGCTGCCCGGAGCAGGAGGAGGGGGAGAGCGCGGCGGGCGGCAGCGGCGCTGGCGGCGACTCCGCCATAGAGCAGGGGGGCCAGGGCAGCGCGCTCGCTCCGTCCCCGGTGAGCGGCGTGCGCAGGGAAGGCGCTCGGGGCGGCGGCCGTGGCCGGGGGCGGTGGAAGCAGGCGGCCCGGGGCGGCGGCGTCTGTGGCCGTGGCCGTGGCCGTGGCCGGGGTCGGGGCCGTGGCCGGGGCCGGGGCCGTGGCCGCGGCCGTCCCCAGAGTGGCGGCAGCGGCCTTGGCGGCGACGGCGGCGCGGGCGGCTGCGGCGTCGGCAGCGGTGGCGGCGTCGCCCCCCGGCGGGAACCTGTCCCTTTCCCGTCGGGGAGCGCGGGGCCGGGGCCCAGGGGACCCCGGGCCACGGAAAGCGGGAAGAGGATGGACTGCCCGGCCCTCCCCCCCGGATGGAAGAAGGAGGAAGTGATCCGAAAATCAGGGCTCAGTGCTGGCAAGAGCGATGTCTACTACTTCAGGTATCTCTCTGAGGGTGTGGGGGTGGGGTGGGGGTGCAGGGTCAGGTAGGGGTCAGGGGTCACGATCTGGCCTGGGCAGGGGTTGCAGGATTAGAGCAGAGTCCTGAAGGTATATGACAAGGACCGGGTGAGCTGGTATGGGGAGGGGGTGCTGAGGCCTTGGCAGAGGTTAGACCTCAGTGGAGTGAGGGGCACAAGTGTCTGAAAGGTGAGGAAGGAACGTTCTGCAGAAGACTTCCGGGAAAAATGGTTTGCGAACGAAGGGTTAATGGAAAGGATGGTTAGTTAGGCCACGAAAGGGTTAAAAGAAGGTGTAATTCAACGAAACTCTAAAACCCAGTCACTGTTGGCGCCTGTCCCAGCATGTCCCAGATTCATCATCAGAAGTGCGTTTAATCGTGCCCGTGTGGAAGAATGAGCCATCTACCCGAAGAAAGTTTCAGTTAACTTTGTAGGATCCAGGGAGGTCTCACGTAGAAGTCGGCATTTGTGTGGAATGCTTTGGCGTGGCAGTCCGTCCTAGCCCTTTGACAACGGAAGTTGTCAGACTCCCAGACCAACATTTGTTCCCCCAGTGAACATGGGGCAGTGTCTGGAGACGTTTCTGGATCTCTCCTGGGGAGAGGGTGCTGTTGGCCTTGTGAGGGAAGGCCAGAGGTGCTGCGGTGCTGTAGTAATGAGCTTCCCCCCAGTGCGAGCCAGTACAGCTGAGAAATAGAGCCGAAGTGCTTCAGGGGTTTTCACTTGAATGTCATCTTGCAGTACTGTGGTTACACTGCTGACGCCCTTCATTTGTGATGGGTGGCAAGCTCAGGAAAGGGTCAGTGGCCACTGATACCAGTGGGATTATGAACAAACTAAATGTTCCTCCACACCTTCCCACTTATTGAGTACAAACATGTTATATTCAGTAGCTTGGAGGACCCAGGGTGGAACGGTTTTCAGGCAGGGTAATATATTTGAGTGTTTGAGAACTAGCTCTTAGTCGTTCAGAAGCTGGAATAACGTGAAAATTTTCCTATTGGTCATTCAACTGGCGCGGGGGAAATATGCTTGGGTATAGTAGTTCCAATTCATATATGTGAACAGTGTTTAAGGGGTTAAAAAGTTGTGTACAAGCATGCATCAAAATACATGAGTGTAGTTACTGCTAATGTATGCATAGATATGAGCATATTGTTTTCCCTTTCTCCTTGGTGGTGTTGGTCAAACCCAGGACCTGGTCCATCTACAGACAAGTGTTCTGCCACTGAGGAGCATCGCCAGACCCTGAACACATTCTTGCCGGATGCTCAGATGCAGGAATGATTAGCTTACTCTTTTCAGCACTTGAAGTTAAAAAAAAAAGTGTTGCGTTCCAACTCATTCACTTTTGTTTGAGACAACTTATTTTTAGTGCTGGGGATTGAATCTATTCCTTGCACTCGCTGGGCGAATACTATAAACTGAGTTACATCCTGTTCCCCTACCCCCTCTGAAAATTTTGTGGCAAGTGCCTCACTGAGTTTTCCAGCTGGACTTGAATTTGCCTGGAGCTGGTGATGCTCTTGCACAGCCCCCCCCCCCCCAACCCCCCCCCCCCCCCCCNCCTCGGGCCGGGGGTGCTCCTTCCCACCCCCCCCCCCCCCCCCCCCGGGGGTTGCTGGGATCACAGTTCTGTACCAGCAGGCCTGGCGTTCAGAAAGCTTCAAGTATGAAGGTGATTGTGTGGCTTTCAGTTTGTCCATCACTGCTCAGTGCAGTGCTATGATGTTGCTAAAAATAAAACAGTAGCTGCTAGCTGGCTGTAGTGGCCCACGCCTTTAATTTCAGAACTCAGGAGGTGAGGCAGGCAGAGTTCCTAACCTGGTCTACAGAGCAAATTCCCTGCCTAACAGCCAGGCTTACACAGAGAAACCCTGTCTTGAAAAACAAAACAAATTAAAAGGCTGCTGCTGTTAGATAGATACATTTGTTTCATTTAATGCTGCTTCCAGTTCTTCTTTGCTTAGGGTTTGTTTTACTGTTACCTTTTCTAGTAGGCAGGCTGCACAGGCTTTGTCAACTACTGCTGGTGTCTCAGAGACAGTTCTATTCCACAGAGTCTTTTGTATCTGAGGTTGAATCCATTCTCAGTTGGACATTGTAGAATTTGTATTTCATCGCTTACGGAACTTGTGTTGCGATATGGTTTGTTTGGTTTTGGAATGATGTATTTATTCAAATGAACTTTGCATTATAGAAAAGCTTGCGTTTTTATTTTTCTTTGGATACATAGCTGGAAAAGAAATTCAAAAGTCAAACTGGGTGTGGTTGCGCACGCCTGTAGTGTCAGCTACTCAGGAAGTTGAGGGGACAGGATCACTTGAGCCAGGAGATTGGATCCAGCCTGGTTAATGTAATGAGACTCTTGTTTCTAGAAGCACAACATTAGAAGCTGGTGAGATGGTTTGGCAGCCACAGGTTCTTGCTGTCAAGCTGATGACTGAGTTTGATCCCTGGAACCCACCTGGTGGAACGTGACTGATCTTAGAGGGTGTCCTCTAGCCGCCGCCTCCTTGCCACCACTACACCCTGGCCACCACATATACACCAAGTATTAAACACACACACACACACACACACACACCAGCCGGAGCTTTGGACTGTTGTGCTTATCTAGGGCTAAAAGAGTGTTGTCTGTGGTTTGTTGTCTGCTTGTGAGATGTTACTCTGTTGCCTGCTGTGAGCGTGAAGCTTGTACCGCATGAGTTTCTTTAGTTGTGTGACGGACTAGTGAAACTCAGCTCACACTACTTTTCCACCTTAGTTTTACATATTGGTGTCCATGTGGTACCTGCCTTAAACCAGGAGTTCAGAATGTCTGCTAATGGTAGGTTGAGTGGGAACCCTGCTGGTAATGTGAACACCGTCACCCAGCTGTTCACACAGACTCTAACATTACTGACCCCCGAATTAGCCTGCTCCTGGGGAGATTAATTTGAACTAAGCCATGCCTATTTACTGAGGGTGTGCCCACACTTATTAATGCACAGGGAAAGCCTCAGGTTTTGGTGGAATATGTTTTGGCTGCGTCTTGAAACTGTGTAATAGAAGCACCTCTGGTTGCCAGTTAAGCACTGTAATTACGCCTTCTGTCAGGATTACTGAGATAGTGCTGTGGCGGTTCATATATTATCATCCAGAGCATGTTTTCAAAAAGGGTGTGGTTTGTTAAACTACTTGGTCCACTGGTACAGTTTCTGAAAAAAATTCATTGCCACATTTGAACCCATAAAGCAGTAATTTTCTTATTGGGCTTGTGATCCTTCATTTCCAGGATTTGGCTTTTTGTGCAACACATACTGGTTTGTGTTTCTGAAATACTTTCCTCTTCATAGGGTTTGTTAGGAACTTGTTCTCTCTCGCCATCTCCTCTCCCCCTCTGTGCAGCACTCGTTGGTCCTGGTACTAGGCATATAATCCCATGCTGTCTTTGAAGTTGTGGCAGTCCTATCTCCGTGCCCCCCAAATGCTAGAATTGCAGGCACACACTATCCTTCTTGGCTGGCTTCACTTTCTTGAACTCAGGTGTTGCTGAGGTCCATAAAAATCACAAACGATCTGAATAGAAGTAGGAGTCTCCAGAGGAGGCAGCTGGGTGTAAGATTAGATCTGGGCATGGTTCTCCACCTCCTGGACCCAACAGTGGTGCACTGGGAACAAGCCACAGTGTTCCCCCATGCTCTTGTTTGTCCACTTATCAGTGGGTCTGCTTGTCACACGAACCTCAGAATATTTGACACAAGGATTAATACTGTTCTTGCTCAGGTAACCAAATAGGCAACACATTCGGTAAGGAGAGACCATTACGTTTCTTTTTGCTCACAGTTCCAGAGGCTACAGTTCACTGTGGCTGGGAAGGCCCTATTCCAGGTTATTACCCCTGACCCAACCTTCAATATTTGAAGCAAATTTAATACAATATAATTTCATTCATAAAGAACTTCAGTAAGTTGCTTGTGGCCGTAAGACTGAAACATGGAAATTTTATAACCACACATAGTTCAGTATTGCAAAACGAGAAGAAAAGTCAGCAGTCACATCACGGTTACTCCTGCCACAGTGGTGCTCTCTCCATGGGTTCAGAGGAGGGAAACACATTCACTGTGAGGGCTGTGGGGTCTTCATGGCAGACAGAGGACGTTAGGTTCCTAAAAATAGGAGTCTCCAGAGGAGATCTTGGAGTTTGGAGTGTTGCATTATAGACCAGGTAAAAGATGGGAGCATTCAGCTCAATCTTGACAAAATGAATTAACCAACATGGTTGGAGCAAAGGTCATGGGGTAAGAGAAGTGGAAAGTAGGGTTGAAAGGTTGAAGGAGCCAGGTTACAGAGCCTCAGATGCAGGGCTAATGGGGAAAATCCACTGAACACTATTAGTTTTATATTTTCAATTTATTTTAAACTTACATAAAATATAAAATTATGTACTTATATATTCTAAAAACTAAGTTTACGTTGAAGGCTTTTAAAGAGTAGCTATGGTTCAAGTGTCCTGCTTTAGGATGGACATTGGGATACTTTAGAATGCAGAAGCTAGCAGATAGTCTGTCATGTGGTTAAGACCATGTTGACTGTAGCCATGTGCAGGATGGGTTCAAAGTTGGTTAGTAACCGATCAGACATGGAGAATAATATGAAAGTCGATAGCAAACTACTGGGGCATGTTGTGCAGGGGCTTCTGAGTGTTCATTTTAGGGATGAGTGCGTGTGCAGGGGTGCGGGGGAGCTGTGAGGAATAGCTGAGTCAGTCTTCCTGTCACTGCACACTGTTTTTGGAAGCAGGAGTATGCATTTTTAAAAAAAACTATTTGGCAATTTTCTGACAATTAGGATTTATACTTAAGTACAAAAGATAATTCAAGGTTTACATTTTAGCTTCAGATAAAATTTGGTTCCTTGGGGAGTTGTTTTTAATGTTACAGAAATCTTTTGCTTTGAATGTTTACTCAAATTTGAACAAATTAAAGGGGTGGGGTAAAGAAACAACTTAGAAAGTTTAAGGGTTAGAGAGATGCTCAGTGGTTAAGAGCTCTGGCTGCTCCTCTAGAGCCCAGTTTCCTTCCCAGCTCCCACATGGTGACACCCAGCTGTCTGTAGCTACAGTTCCAGGAGCGACAAGGGCACTGCAGACATGTGGTACTCCTCTGCAGTGCAGTCAAAATGCCCATACATTTAAAAACATAAAAGTATTCTTTTAAAAGCTTGAAGTTTTGGTTAATCTTTTCCAGTGTTCAAGTATATAGAAGTTTTGTGTGTGTGAGGGTTTTCCTTAATTCCTTAGAAAGTTCTTGATCGTGGTGGGTAGTCCTGTGGTTCTGAGTGTGTTCTTCATCAGCGTACTAGCCCTCTGCCTTCGGAGAGGCCCTGTCCCTTACAGTCTGCTGTGTGTCATTCCACTGGAGTGACTCCATGCCCACAGCTCATCTGTCAGAAACGGCCTTGAAGATAGGGTTGTGCGGTCTTTGTAACAGCTACTAACGCTGTAGCTCACTTGTCATCAGCATGTGTCCTGCTGTTAGCAGAGGGGCTTCAGAGGATGGGTTCAGTTGCACACTGCAGGTCTGTGGAGACAGGGTGGCACAGTAGAATACAGTTGTCTGCTCAGGAGATGACGGTTCCAGGTGGGTTCACAATGTGACAGAAATGCAGATGGCACTAAGCATTCTGGTATCTCAGGTACAGTTTCTAGATTTTCTTTTACATAAAGTTTCTTCTGGGTAGTTATATTTAAGAATCTTTAGCATGGAGTTATGTTTAACAGTCACTTTAAGCAGTTTGACAGAAATTAAAGGAGGCTGGGTTCAAGCGATGAAATGTCTTCATATGAACTGAGATTCGACTCATAGTTTGATTTTTAATTAAATAGTGGATAACATAAATTAAGTGCATGATTGCAAGTTAGTTCAGGAATGGGGTAGGTTAACAGGGAAATTTTCTCTGTGGTTGAAACTGAGATAGTATTCATTACTTTGGTCAGAGCAAACTGAAAATGACTAATCTATCTACTAGTGTTAAAAAAATACTGTAAACTTAAGTTATGAATTGATATTTCTAGAATAAGTAATTGACATCTTAGAATAAAAGCTTAGTCACTTTGCAAGTCCTAGTATTTCTGTGATGCGGACGGGGAGCAGTCATCTTAGAGGGTGATGGGAATGTAGTCCCTGTCTGTGCTCAGCGGGCACTCAGGCTCAGTGCTGCTGTGCAGCTGGTGTGAATCTCATGAACACATTTCCTACTTACCTGTTCTCTTGGGCCTTGTCCTCCTATTGCCTGTCCCTGTCTCCTACAGCAAGGTCCCTGGTGTTCAAATTCCCTGGGGTAGGCAGGTTTACTTTCTTGAAGCTTGTTACTGAAAGGACAGTGGCTTGTCCTGAGTTTCTGCATGGCACAATCTGCCAGATGCCCTGCAGAGTCCTGTCTGTATGACAGGAGTGAAGCAGAATTTGGGAGGCACCACTTGATATTGCTAATCTTGTAAATTTCTGCATTTTACCCTTCTTGGATTATAAGTATGTGAGAGTTTCATCCTGGGCCTTGTGCTTGCTGGGCCAGCTCTGTACCCCTGAACTGTGTTTGCAACCCAGAATAGTCTTGATAGTGAGTCCTGTCCATGGGTATTTAGATCTCTGGAGTCTGAGGAGAAGTGTCCAGAGTAACCTCCTTAGTGAGTTTTGCTCTGTGGAAGCCTTGACACTGAGGTACTGGCATATTTTTAACGTGACTTTTAACACACAAGGAAACACCTCTTGCACATTCAACTTTGAAATTCATTGGTTCTTCCCGAAATGACTTTCTGTTTGTCTCAGCCACATGCTAAGCAGTGTGGTGCTTATCTTTTTGGTAAAGGTTATACTGCCTGAATATTTTCAAGTTCTGAAAATAAGTCAGCTGAAAGAAGATCCACACTGGAGCTTAAGTTTTTATTGCATTAAAAGGATCTTTAGGCGGATATTCGATTAAGGATTGTCATTTTATTTTGTGGAAAGATATTTTCTTGTTCTTTTTTATATACTGGAGATACTGAACCTAGGGCCTTGTAGATGCTAGGTGAGCATCCTGCTACTGAGCTATATCCCTCTTTCCTTCTTAAAGCCACCAGGCTGGGCTTGGACTCTCTCTTGCTTCAGCCTCTAGGTAGCTGAGATCACAGCGTGCATTACTGGCTTAGCTTCCTTCTCTCTTTCTCTCTCCCACCCCCCCCATTCCCTTATTCACTACGTGTTAAAGATGACTATTTGATAACAAGGGCTTCATGGGTATTCTAGCTTAATTAAAACCATAATCATATAAATGGCTGATAAATACAATAATTATAATTTTTCAGATTAATTTGAGTGATTTAGTAAGATTTATGTAGTAAAACTGACTAAAGGTGATTTTTTTATTTTTAATTTTAAGTATATGATTCATCCCAGCATGCCTGCAAAAGAAAACTACATTCCTTCTTACTCAATTGATAGGTTTCTTGCTCTCAGTTACTTTGTTCAATGGTTGCCTTTGTATAATGACTTTTGAGAGTTTATCAAAAGGGGTTTATAATATTTGATTGTTGGAAATATATTGGAATCAAGGAAACATACAGGAATTGTAATGAAATAAAATTTCAGAGGACTGCAATTGTTTTTCGTTTGGACTGGAGAATAACAAGGCGCATGACGATTTAGGTGGGCTTGAAGGACATAATATCTCATTGACAGGTTCATCCCATCTGGAAAGATAGATAGATTATACCTTTGGAATCAAAAGTACATGGCATACTTCAGTAACTGAGGTTGTAATTTAGGATACCAACGTCGACAGGATAAAGTCTGTAAACAGTAAATTTGATTGAGTTCTTTTGATGATGTACTAAAGGAGGGGAAGGCATTTTGTCACCACTGGGGAATCTGAGAATTTGAATTTGGTGCTGGATGGGTGGCGGAGGAATATGGGAGATGAAGGTTGTTAGTGTTCATCCAGCTTGGAGGAGTAGATGCTACATGGGCAGTGATGCCACTGGCAAAGATTGGAAGCATGTGGTTGATAGTGATGATCGAGCTTGAGGCAGTGTTGAAAGTACCCTGATGGCTTCGCTTGTGGTGCTATGCCTATTTTCCAGTGTAAAATGCAGTTGGATTTGAGATAGTCTGTGTGTGATCATATCTTCTTTCCCAGACTGGATTTTGGTTTTAGCTACTTTACTTACTCTTATGGGCTGGTTGGTATTGGTTGTAATCTTCATCGTTAGTTGAATTTTGTAAACTTTGAATTGTGTTCCAAGAGTACTTAAGTCATGGGATTGTGAACAACAAAGGTTAATAGGTCTTCCAGCCATCCGGAGTCTGTGTTGACAGAATATCATGCAATGTGACAGGTGACATGCTTTGTCTTTAGACCTGAGCCTGAAGTTAGTTCAGTCCAGCGTAATGTTGTATTGTTTTGTTCCTCAGTGTTTTAAAGTTCTTTGTTTGTTGAATTATGTTTTACTTATTTTGACTAGTTAGTGCAAGGTTAAATTCTAGGTGTGGCATGCCAGCCTCTGTGAGATGCTTTCTGAAGTTCTAAGGGGTTTCTTCTGCAGAAACAGTCACAGTTTGTTCTAGCTATTTGGTTTATAAAAGTTTTTAGATAAGACTTTAGGGATATTGTCCCTAAAAAGCAATTTCTTACAGATTAATGACACAGAACTCCATTTTAGGGAGTCTGTTCTCTGCAGTTCTGGCACTTTTACAGTTTTCCATCTTTGGCAGTTCTTGTTTATAAGAAGTAAATTACTTATTTATTGGTTTTTTTGAGGCAGGGTCTCATAGCCCTGGCTAGACTAGAAGTACCCTTGTAGTTGAAGCTGACGTTTTGCCTCCATCTTAAGTGCTGGGATTACAGGCCAGACCTGTGCCATCACACCTGGCTAAAAAGAAATTATTTTTGATAGGCCTAATTTACTTAATTTTTTTTTCTCTTTAGATCTCTGTGCTTTTTAAAGTTTTACTTTTGAGATTATAATATAACTGCAACATATCTCCCCTTTCCTCCTTCCAAATCCTTCCATATATTCCTCTCAGCTCTCCTTCAAATCCATGGCTTCTTTTTTCATTAGTTATTATTGCATGCATATATACATTTATATCCCTAAATATAACCTGCTCATTTGATATGCTTATTTTAGACAGTTTGTCAAACAAAAGTCATGTCAATTTTATAAATAGGTTCACAGATGTTCTTGTTTTTCTTTTTAGTTGTAGTTTTAGTAGAAGCATTTACACATCATAATTTCCTTTTTTCTATTATAGATACTATAAGTTTATGCCAGATTATGTGGAGTCCAAATTCATGTTTTAAACTAGCTACTGACTTTAACAGTTTCTGAGCTCTTGACATTGTGCATAAACCAGTGTTTTCAAAAGACAGTTTGGAAAGAAGTTGGTGGGAATGCAGACTCTTGTAGGGAGTGTGCTGCATGGGCTGTGCTCAGCTCTCAGGCAGTTAGCTGTGTAATCTGTAGCAGCATGTGTAGTGTGCTCTAGCGTGCACCAGGGAGAGCTGTATTGAATGATACGCTTTCTCTTTCTGCAGAAAGTTAAGAAGTTTCTTCAAGACTTGTAGTAATTCCAAAATGAAACCCAACACATGTAATTGTAATTTGTAACAATCAGGAACAGAAATTACTATTAAAAAAGGTTATGTAGGAATGTATTTTAAAAAGGCTATATAGAGGCTATTAATATTTCCTTTTGTACAAATAAACTTTTTTTTTCTTCTAGTCCGAGTGGTAAGAAGTTCAGAAGTAAACCTCAGCTGGCAAGGTATCTGGGAAATGCCGTTGACCTCAGCAGTTTTGACTTCAGAACTGGCAAGATGATGCCTAGTAAATTACAGAAGAACAAGCAGAGACTACGGAATGATCCTCTGAATCAGAACAAGGTTGGTGACTGTACTCTAGCATAGATGTGCACTTCCCAAGCTCTCCAGACGTGTTTCCTGTGCCATCGAGCTCTCCGTTGTCTGAGTTTCTCTCCCCACTACAGAGTATTTTAAAACTTACAAGTGGGATGTATTTTTCTGTATTTGGAAGTGCTTGAACAGAGAAAGTGTGATTGTACACAGTAGAAAACAACGTTTCATTGTGTCGATAGACTACCAGCCTGTACTATACATCGTGGTTTTTAAAAAGCATATTTCTTCTGTTTCTTAAAAAGAGGCAACATTACCACATCAGGAGGGCAGTGTGACTCTGACTTTGATGTTGGCGATGTCGACTCAGACATTACTGTTTTCATCCTCAGAGATTTGTTTCCCTAGCCCTTAATTCTCTGGAACTGCTTGGTTGATTATTATATAGCAATATAAACAAGCCATATTTGGATATATTAATTTAATTTGATTAAAGCTTTAGTGTCTTAAAAAAAAGGTTCTAATCTTTCAAGAACAACTGGCCATGTATGACCCACAGACAACTCATTACATGGTTCCTCTAAGTAGTGACCACCCTTAGTGCTGAGTCAGGAGCTGAGGAGCACATCACCACTACCGGTGCCTAAACCAGTGGTTTTAATGACTTTGTTATCAGTTGTTAAAGGTTTTCATTCCTATGTATTTTAGGAGCCTGTGTCTGTGCGTCACCATCTCCACTTTTTCAGGACAGTCTTGTAAAATAGACTGAAAGAGTCATTTCATACATAGGATTTGACTGATGTAACCCTGCCGGACCCTCAGGAGTGCAGCATTCAGACAGGAACCAGACATTGCACTCCGGCAGGCATGGGCTTGGTGAGCTGGCTGTGCTCTGTTAGCTGATACAATCTATCATATTGTAATATCTGATACAGATAAACAACTTTCTGAGGTTGAAGCCTCTGAAGGCCTGAGACCTTTTGGAGAGGGTAATAAAACTCCCATAGCGTTATAGGAGAATGAAGTGGGGGTTTACATAAAAACATTTAGCAAAATATTGACCTCTGCTATTTCCTTTTCCCCCCTCCTAAATTGTCCTTTCCTTCCCTAAACTGCAGCCAGCTTTCTGAGCAGCACGCTACCCTGCTTCGCATAGTGTTCAGTTTAGGAAGCTTTCTGACGCAAGCCCTTTTCCTTTTCTCAAGCATATACACACACTAGTGTACGTGTGTATACACGACAATTAAGATTTTCTAAAACCGCCCCTTTAAACTCTAGCACAGAAGGACCTAACTGTTTATGAAATGACGAGAATACTTATAAATTTTCCTCTTGTTCCCAGAGTCACATTTTAGCCTCATTTAATGCAATTTAAAGCTTTACTTCCTGACAGTTGTGGTTCATTAAAAACCAAATGCTAATTCGTCTCTAGTTTGTGTGCATCTCTCTGCTCTAGCTGCTCTGGACGCTCATCACCGCAGCATGGCATGCGCTTTCAGGACCTGCTTGCTTCTGTGCAGCTCCCTCTGCTTGGAATGTGCTTCCCCTCCCCCTCCATCTGGCGAACTCCTCAGCTGAGGCTCTGCTCCATTGCCTGCATCTCTGGGAATCCTGTCCCTTCCTCCCTGGTGACTGCTGTGCTTGGCCCTTGCATTTGTGCCTGTGCTTCAGCTAGACTGTGAGCTCTCTGGGAGCAGGGACTCTGGTTGGTTTTGTTTGTACAGTAGCCCCAAACCTTGCACATAATAGCCTGTTAAATAAACACTTGATGTTTGATTCACTAGCCACCTGATTCTAGAAGTTTATAGTGGTAATAAATGTTATTTAATAAATTCGTGTAACACATGTTTGAGGTGCCTTTCATTTTCATTGTTTTCTGACATTCTGTGTGAAGTTTGTGGTGCCTGGTTTTGCCTTGATCTGAGTTTTAGGTAACTACAGTGGGAGTTGTTACAATTTGAAAAGCAGACTCCCTTTGGGAGTAGCACTATCATTATAGTCAGAAAACAGATTTGTGGTGTAGTTAGCTGAATGCTGTTGTTTTTAGTTGTATAAAGAAAGCTACTGGGAAATGTAGCTAACAGGAGTCTCTATATGAGATTTAGCTTGGCTAAAGTATATTACTCATTTTTTTAAGTTAAAAAAATTAAAATTGGGGATATAGTCAGTGAAGTAAGGTTTTAAACAGGATTGACCAACCATAAACTGTGATCTTGACATATGTCTTCTATATTAAAGAGCTTATTGCTAATGGGTATTTTCAAGTGTGATTGGAGAGACTGCTTGGAGGACCTTTGCAGAGTGGGTTTAATTGTGTTCCAGCGGGCAAGTAGGATGGAATGGGCATTGACTCTGGGTTCACACACACTGCAGCTCTTGTACTTGTCTCTGCTTTTCTCAATTATTTTCTTAACCAACCCCCCCCCCAAATTGATTGCATTCTTGGTTTCTTGTTCTTTATTGATTTTTCTTGCACTGCTATAATTATCTGTAGGCACCCCCATCTCTGAAGGTGATAAAATAATTGAAATACCAAGTAGATTACTGAAGATGTCTCTGGAGCTAATGGGGGGCAGGTAGCTAGCTCACAGTAGTGTGAAAGTGACCAACTGGCGTGTGGTGAAATGATGGCAGTGTTCTCACAGTGGAGTGTGCTGGGGTGTAATTGTTAGCTATAGCCACACATGTGCTTCGTGCTTACCCTGTTGGACAACACAGTTTAGAATGAAAAGACGAAATCTTAGCTTTACATGTCTGCGCGCACGCACACACACACACACACACACACACACACACACACACACACTTTCAAAGATACCTCAGGGTTTCAGAGTTGGCTTTGAACATTTTAAGGAGACAATGGTGACAAGGTGGTAATTTTGGGTGAGTGAGAGGGCTGAGCAGGTAGACCCTGCTGCCAAGTCTGACGATCTGAGTTCCATTTCCAGGACCCACATAGAGGTGGGAGAAGAGGATGTGTGTGTGTGTGTGTGTGTGTGTGTGCACATGCGCGGCAAGGAGAGGGAAGATAGAGAAAATATTAAAAATTTAAGACAAGATCATTTCTAAAATTTAGTTGGATTTATGCTGGGATGCGCTACATTAGATTGTGAATGCAAAACATATTTAGGGAACTTAAGGAGCTTGCTTCTGTTCAGTTCTACATTAGATTAAATTCTTTGTTTCGTTGTTTAGTGCTGTAATATAAATGTTTTAGAAATGAAGTGCAAATAACCCGGTGTTAATATGACCTATGATAAATTTTGCATATTCTTTACAATAATTACTGTTTGGGACAAGCCCATTTCCAAGTTTAACTTAACAGCATGCCACTACCTTGGAAGGTCACAGTTCTTTCACTGCCTTCTTCTGCTTTCTCAGACTTGGTACTTTGAGGAAATAGAAATAGAAGCTTCCTGTTTATTTATTTATTTTGGAGTGGTCAATTCTGTGTCAGATCCACCGTCTTGAATTCCTCGTGAATTATCTTGGGTAGTAAGAGTAGTTAGTAAGTTATTGTGATTTATAGGCATAGGCTTGGGACTGTATGACCGTACCCTAGATCCCCAGACACACGGAGAAGACACTTGCTTCAGTTATCCTCACAAAGTTATCAGACATAGAGTTTATATCTCAGTAGTGTAGCTCAGGGCAGCAGCTGTAAGGTTTAAAACAGCTTATAAGTTAGTGGGTAGTTGCACTTCAGTTTAGACTTGTGTGCAGTCTGGAGGATCGATTGGAAAGGCCTGAAGCTGGACGTAGGCAAGCTAATTGGGCCGTTTTAGTCCAAAAAATTAATGGACCTAAATTAATGCCTTGACCTGAGGTATAGAAAGAGGAGAATCAAGAAATCAGTAGGTTTAGGTGCCTGCTGGTCACAGGGAGAGAGAATCAACACTTTCTAAAATTGTGGCTTTGGTCACTGCTGTATTCTGATCATAGTTTGTCTCCTAGAGGTTCTTGTCTGGAGACTTGGCCTTCGGTACTGTGATTCTGAGGGTGGAAAGTTTAAGTAATAGGGTTCCACTTTTATAGTGGATTAATGCCAGGGTTCTGGAACATTGTAGATTTTGTAGGCATTCGTATTGCAGTGAGTTGTTCCCAAGCCTAGCCCTTCCCTGTCCACTTGCTTCTGTTTGTACAAACTCCTTATGCTTGTGGACTGCTACTCTGACCTGTTACGATGGCCAGAGGCCCACACCTGGGTGCTGACCTGTTGTGATGGCCTGAGGCTCACACCAGGGTGCTGGCACCATCTTTCAGGTTCTCCAGTAAATAAGATTGTTAGCTAAATTAACCCCTTTTAAGTTGCCTTAGCCCAGGGTATTTTGTTATGTGCATGCGTGTGTGAAGTTATCCATGGGATGGTTGGTGACAAGGGAGAACCTGTGGGTTGGGATGAAGCTGATGGAGTTACAGTAGCTATGTTTCTTGGGCTCTCATAAATTCATCATGTGAAGATTCCTTCTCTAGTTTGTCATTTGTCGTTTATTGTGCCCAGTGTTTAGACAAATAGGAAAGGTACGTTTTCATATTGCAGAATGCAAATGAGATGAATAAAAATCCTGTGGAAAAGTGACAAGAACTTTCCCAAAGGTAAGAACAAAGTCAGGAAAGTGTAGTATTACAGATTGGAATGGACCTGGTGACCTTGATAGAGCCAGTTTCCAGGGACTGGAAGGGTTAGAAAGCAGGTTTTAGCCAGATCTTTGAAAGTTTTATACTTTGGATTTATTGTTAGCTGAAATAGCGTGGGTAAATAGTGAAAGGCTAGCCAGTGCAGAGCGTTGCCCTCCTGCTGATGTGTCTCAGCTCCTGGCTCTGTCCTGCTCCCCGGAGGACATCAGTTTGTTTTTGTTGTTCTTCCTTTTTGTATGTTCTTTTAGGTCATATGCAAATATAAACATACTATGTTTGTATGTTATTATATGTGCATGTTTTAACCTCCCTATAAAATGGTTAGAATGGCCTTTTCTAAATATTGAAAGACAGCTTGGAAGGAAGTAGAACGAGGATGGAGGATTGTAGCT